TCTTGTCCTGCGTCTGAGGGGTGGGCAGTGAAATCAATGATTCCATGTTTAAACAGTGTTCCCTTCAAAGTTAATGTGCTATGTATGACATGCTATATATACATGCCGTATCCAGTTGTTACACAAGGTGTACAAGGTGTTAACCTTAACATGACCAAAAGTTTGATGCACATCACTTAATAAAGAATTTAAACTGAATTTACTGGTGTTCATTTATGTTGCAAACTCAGTTCACAGATCTATATTAACAGCACATAAGCCTACTGGGTAACCCACCAGCACACATAGTAATACCGTAAGTAGAAATGGCAATAAGAGTTCTAAGTTTAACAACGTAATAGCACAATAATACAATAATAGTGTAGCAGGGGTGTGATTAAGGTGGGTGTTTTCCACAACTTCCTCGTAATGCCTTATGAAACCTTCCTAATAGGCCCAGGTATACTAATAGAGAAGGTGCTTTTGAATATAAATCATACTATGTGGACATAAGACGTATCACTCGGACAGCTTTCTTACATTAAAGCTCCTAAATGTAAAGAAATGTCGAAGCTCCACGAGCACTATATTTGAGTAAATGCTCCCTATAACTGGGAGTTATTGGATATTTTCTCATTTTAATCCAAATTTCTCATTCTCACTAAGTTGATACATTGTGTAAATCACTTTGTCAGCACTCCTGTGTTTCATATTTAATATATGTAAAAGTACTGACAAATGGAACCTGAGGAACTAGACATCCAACCTTTGACCCGCCACAGCTGTGCTAAAGCAACCTATTTTATACCATCAAACATGGCTTTAGTTGTGTATGTGAGAAGCACAATGTATAGAAAAGTCATCAAACCAGCATTTTTATAAATCATATGTTCATATTACTGAGCTTCCACAACCAGCACAATATCTTAATCTAAGACTATAACAACCCAGCTGTATAGCAATACAAAGCCAGCTGATTTTCATGGTAGATTTTGATATGTAACTCTTGGAGAGGTGAAATGAATTTCTATTCATGGGGATGTGGCGCCATCTATTGACAAGCAAAAAGGTTGATAAATTACATAGAAGAAAGATGGATTAGGGAAAGGCAAACACACCAGAAGAGGCGATCTTAGCCAATGGGTCTAAAAATGGGATTCAAGGACCAACAGGGGAGGAGGAAATCTACCTAAATCAAGTAAAAAGGGAAAAGGTGTACTCCACAGCTGGTACTAGAGAGTTGGCATCCCAGAGGAAAATTATAATGTAAATAGTCAGAGGGGAGACGCTGATATTTGGTAACAGTATCAAACATTTGGGCTTGGCACTTGCAGATGCTTTACTAAGACTGAAATAGTTTTCAGTATAAGAAATCTGAAAATGTGTTAAAGCATTGCAGGTTTTTGTCCTGACCTGGAATAGTTAATAATTAGTGCGTGCTTTCCAAGACAGAGAGAGAGGGGCAACATTTCTGTATTATTGAGGGATAACGTGCAGCATATTCATGTCAGATGTTAATACAAACATACTGTAAATTGTCTTATGTCCTGGGCAATGGCAGGCAGAAAGGAGCAGTGTCTCTCACCATGCTGAGGCGAGTCAGCACACATATAGCAGAAAAAACACATTATGTGTTCTAGGTTAGGAAGACATCAAGACATTATCAAGAATCATTGAATCAATAGCAGAACATACATAGAATCTTTGTTTTTTGGTGTGCAGCCTAACATATAAATAAGGTGAACGTGTGCATAGCCTACAGCGACAAGAGAAGTGCAAATGTTGCCCTCAAGCATGCATGTTACCTACAGTTACCTACCCAGAAGAGAGACTTAGTTCAGGGATGACACTGCAGTCTCCAGTGAAGGAAAGTAGTGTGGATTATGGATGGCACAAGGATTGTACTGCGGTATTTGCCAACTAATCCAAAACTAAACTGGCTCAACACTGGCATCAGGATAATCTGGTGTCAGCTGTTTATCCTGCCAAAGGAATTTATCTCACAACACTGCTGAATTAACAAACTGCTCTCAGTTTGTGCATCGGGATCAGGAGAATATAAGACAAAGAATTCACGCAACACACAACTTATTAAGCAGTCTAGTAGCAATCTATGTATAGTCAGCTGCAAATATGGCTTGACCCCAAAAAAATTCTAACAAAAGGTTTCTCAGTGGTTTACAGTAGTATCAGATGTACTTAAAAACATACTAAAAGTTTACCAAAAGTTGGACTCCAAGAAAGGCCCCAT